GAATATTTGTGATAACTGACCAGACATCTCTAAACTGAATGTAATGAGTATAGCCATGCTTGTCCTGAAGAGGTGGAAAAAGAAGGAGTGAATCTGAATGTAGAATATGAAGTGTAACTGAATGATATTCTTGCTCTTGCTGTATAATATTAAGAATGGTGTAGCTGCTAGGATGCTTATGGAAAGCTTTTTACCTCCCAGGAACTCCGTATTATTTTTGAGTGCCCTCCTGTTGAACTCAGTGTAGTTTCTGATGAGACCCTAAGAAGAATGATGTCCACATACGTGCATAGACACCAAAGTCATCAGTTTACTGCATGCACACAGCTCTGGGAATAGAACTTAAGACCTTCGCCCCCGCAAACACAGCTGCTCATCTGGCTGTGGGCTTTGTAGCCAGCAGAGGGAACTGATAAACTCTCATAGGGCTCCTTTATATATTATTTCTAACCAAAAGAGGGCACTGATTCTCACTCACTCCATTGCGTGTCACTCCTCAGCAGTTTCACCTGTCATCCAAGAAGCAAGAGACTTACATTTGTCTTGCCTTTGCTATGAGATGTGAGCTTGCATGAAGATTTAATAATCAAAAGATGTCCCTAGACAGCACAGTGGTATTAATCTCCTGCAGTGCAATTATGAGACATTAAGTTCATTACAAATCAAGACAATTACAGAAACACATCCAACATTTCAGGAGTATGGGGAGACCAAGCACAATTGCTTACTGATGTGTACAAAGAATAGGCACAGTTATTGCACAAGACCCACAAAAGGCTTCAGAACCAGGACTCATCATTATCTTTTAAACTCATAACTTTTGCTGAAGCAAAATACTTTTAGCATAAAGAATGGATCTCACTTTCTTCTGGAGGGGAAGCCATAAAATAGAAATATATATTTGCTAGGATTTCATGTCAGTGAAGAGGTAAAAGTAAGAAACTTCTGCACAGTTAAATACAGATATTTGTTGGTTTTAATCAAAGACAGAACAAGCCATCGCTATGCTTTTGTCTTTTCTTGTTCCTCACTACAGTAACTCCACTGAAAGCCATTGCTCTCTTAGAAATACAACACCAGTAAAAAAAACCAATTATCTCTCAGGAGAAGGAAGGAATCCATGTGCTAGGGTAATTGAAAGGCCAAAAGAGTAAGGGCAAATACGGGGATATATTTAAAGCTCAGCAATAAAATGTAATCCTTCCTCCCCTGAGATATATAACAGGACATAAAGCAAATGGGCTGAAAATGCTGTGTTGCAGGTTTTCTCACTTGCTTATAACAACTGTCCTACTTCTATTGCAGGTAATACTATGTCAATCTTTTTTTTTTTTTTTTTTTTTTCTTTTTTTCTTTTTTTCTCCATACTAATTTTCCAGTTGCCTCTCACACATTCACTGTGAGCCTGTGAGCAATGCAAGGTTTGTGGTAACTTTCAATGTAGAAGAGTGAGAGACATGACCTCCAAAAGCAAGTAAGGCAGTTACTTCAGAAATCAAGCATAAGCATGTATTAATTTTATTTATTGATAACTCAACATTCACAAGACCAATCTTGTGTTACCAAGACTGCACTGCTATAGTTAGGTGTTGCTGCCTTTTCTGGTCCGTGGCAGTGGATCCATGCTTGCTCATTCTGACAAGAGCAGGCTAGTCTCAGCTCACCACAGAGGGTAAGAAAGGGGAGGTCATTTGATTATTTATTTCTTATCTATTTCCCCTCCAAGAATGACTTTAAAATCCTGCTAAGGGGGTTGTAAATGATTTCAAAGGAAGATCCAAAGTGTTAGGATTAGGTTACCTCTCGTAAGAAGTGACACTGAAATCCTCCCTGTTGTTCAGTCCTAAGGAAGCATGCAAAGATAGATCAGCTGCAAAGCGGTGTAATTTATAAGGCTGAATACAAAATGAAGCTTGGGATTAAAGTGCTGGACTGAAACCCAAAAGAGCTAAACATGACTGTCTGCTCTGCAATGAATTTCCACTGTGACCATGAGGCAAAAAGTCCATGTATTTATGCAGATAGCCCTGAAAGTGATGCTTGTTCATTTCCATGGAAACTACAGCAGTTACAAAGAGCACAATCACACTATTTGATACAGCAAAGTCTGAGACACAAAATGCTATTTTTTAACATAGTTACCAGCATTAGCTGTGCAATTCTGCAAGAAATGTTGTCGCTGCTGAAACACAACAGCGCCTCACATCCACCATTTGGTCTCCACAAATGTTCAGGGTCCCATTTTTTTTTTCCACATGGAAAAGTTTAATGGCACATGTTTGCTTCATCCACACTCCCATGACAGACACTATTCTGTCAGACTGCCCAACTGCTGCCATCTGTCACATAGCAACAACAGGTAAGGGAGTATTGGTGGGAAGGTGCAATTTCTACTGCCGTACCACCAACATCTGCCTCTGATGTCATGGACAACATAATAAAATAGGAGGTAATGCTTTTGGAGCAGTCCTTGGAGTATCAGAATGGCCAGAGGGAACATATCTCTGCCTCACAAAGAGGTGGTGAAAATAAATTAATGTAGATCAGAATGTCTCAGAGTCAGTGGGAATGGCAGGCCACTGACTAAGTAGTTCAGCCTATACAGGTATAACTTTTTCAGGTATCTAGTCTAGCATTTTTAATAGATGTAGAAATTGTGCTAGTAATTTCACTGGGCATTTGTGCCCTAAATGAACACACAAAAAAACACCCTTAAATGCCACCATCAAGAGAAGTGGCTCAGAATGCCTTCTTAACACTTGGCTGGTCAGTGATAGAAAAACATTTTTTTATATATGTATATTTTTAAATATTGTGGTCATCATTAAAAAAAAAAAAAAATCTGAATTCCTTTTTCTCCCACTGACTCTCTTTTTATTTATTTTTAGTGTGGTTATAGGATTATTTTTAAGTGATAATGTTTTTATCTTATTGTCAGCATGTTTTAATTTTAAAAAGGAGTTTCAGATGAGCACATAAGCCAATGAAGGCATTTCTAGACACCTAAGTATTCTGGGAGATGAGCTGGTTACAGTTTCCCTTCATTCCCTGCTGCTAAGTGATGCTCAGCTGAATGATCTATTCAGCCTAAGAGAGGAATTGCTCAGAGGAGATTCTGATCTAAATTAGATACATTCCTTTCAGTGGAGTTTTCCTAATATGCCCTGCAATCCATTTTTGAAATGCCAAAACATCACATTTCACAGCAGGCTTTAATAAAAGGTATTTTGCTATATACACATTTCTTGTGACAAATGCATTTTAAAATATTTTTTTTAATTGAAAAAATGCTCTGATAGAAGTTGATTTATCTGTTGAAGTTCTGTATGAAAGATGAGGCTTTACTGCCAGATTTTAGATGTAAATTCTATATATGATTCTAAGTTGAAAGCATATCTGTGCTTTACAAGAGGGGCACTTCAGTACATGGAAGGGGGTTTACTATAAAAATCCAGTGTTAACTAAGGGGTAAAATTTTGTAGCTTAAAGACAGAATACCTGCTCTAGGAATAGAATCCAATGATTCATGTTTTCTATAGGCAACTTGCATGGATTTTCTGGATGCAAATGTTGTTTTACTGTAATCCTCGTGTAGAAATCACTTTACTTTGTTTTGTATAGTTAGTTCTTTGTTTTGTTTTTTAAGAGAAGTTACTTATGTAATCTTCCAGGCAAGTAGCTGAAGGCAATGTTTTCTTTCCTCCATTAGATACAACAAATAACATGTAAAATAAAGAGAAGAATCTCTTACAGTATGCAGGAAAAGGCCTTTTGAGAAGAATTCTGCTGATGTTATACAGAGTTGTAGCTTAAAAAGTTCCAGCTACTGTGAGTACAGCTATGCGTGGAGATAATTCTTTCTTAGAAAAGACTTTTTTATTTGGGGAAAGAACAACAAAGGTTCAATTTAGGAAGAGAATTGTTTGGCTTTCAAAAAGAAAACCACTCTAACAGCAGAATGAATTACATGTAATATAAACAAACTATTTAGAGTCAGCATTTATTGCTTGCGTTTAGTAGTTCATGGTCTCTCATCTCTGAGAACTGGAGAAGCATTCTACAATGAGGATTTATTTCTGTGATGGAATTTCTTTAAGCAGGTGATTGTTAAAAGCGCACTGACACAACTGAATGGCACTGAGAATGCAATTCACTAATAGATTCATCTCTGTGAGGATGACACATGAACAGAGGGGAGTGCAAACACAGTTTTGAAAGCACTTACATTTTACTGTTTCCACTATTCAACAGCTGTCTGCATGAGACAGTTAACTATTCCTTCCTGTGGCATTAGAATGCCTATGTGGGCAACCTTGATAAAATGCAATTCAAGCTGATTTACAGCTTTCATAGACGTAAGAGGTCTGTTCCAAGAAGCAGAATGTTGCTTGTGAAATATGTACTTTAAGCATATTTGACACCATACAGCAAACTCCCTTAGCCTTACTACTGTGCTCCTGTGAGAGCGTAAGTTCGATTATATGATTTTTAAAGGGAAGAGAAACCTGTGAAGGTGCACTTCATCCCCAAAACTGTCCCAGTCTGCCCCGTAAATAATAACAGTTATAATAACACAAAGATTCTTTCTTGAGTCAGCACTTCGAGTTATCACTAAGCTATTTTTTTGTCTTCAAACTTAAGGCAGCTCTAAAGTGTCCTTTTTTTTTTTTAAAAAAAATAACTTTGACTGGACTGAAACCACTGAGAGGGATAATAAATTGTTGGAAGTGATCTGGATAAAAAATCTTTTCAAAAATCTATCAGAAAGGGAGAGAAGACCATTTCTCAGCCACACAATATTTCCCAGCAAGATCTGTTTTCATTTCATTGCCACAACAACAGATTGTTACTAACTTAACTGTCAGATGACACTACATCTTAAAAAAATAAAAAGCAAAGCAAGCTGCCAGCACCACCCAGCAAGGCAGTGCTAGAGTTCACATTAAGACTTCCTCACAATAACTGGTTAGAAGAGAAACCTGAAGCAGCAGTAATCTTACCTTGAGTGTACAAGATCCAAGAAGAGAAGATCACTGGTTCAAAACAGTGGAGGGCTGAGAAAGTGCTCTGATCAGCTGCTGGTAGCATGCACTTGGCTTTTATGTGCAGGTGGGAGGAGCTGCTCCCTACGGTAGGTGGGCAGTAAGGACAGCAGGCAGACAGCCTTCAGAAGGCACTGCACAGTAGGATTTTGCTCTTTGGGGACAGAAGGAGGGGGGAAAAGTAAACTGAATGGCATTCAGAGGAGAAATAATGTTGGATTTATTGATTTCTTTTTAAATGACTTTGTTAACTAACTGTTTTCTACTGTGTTTGTTTCTCTGAATCTGGTGCATTATTCTGGTTGCAGTTACAATGCTACTAGGTCTTTTGGAAAGATTTTTACCTCAACAGTAATAGTAGATAGTAACACAAAGTAGTTATCAGAAAGGCTTGTGTTTCTCTTTCTAAAAAGGAATAACTATGAATAAACAGCTTGCTTTGTATTCAGAACATCTATTCGATTGCAGATCCGGAATCCTTCTCAGTTTCTCTTGTGCTGTGCTACCCAGCTTTTCTTTGATGCAGCTGTAACTTGTTCCATCTACACACAAACTTTCTAATAGTTCAGTTTAGTGGTTTTATTGTTCCGTGTGTGTCTGAGTTCTAAACAATTTTCCCAACTGGTATTCTCAAAAGGCAAATGTAGCCGGAAAGACAAACCAGTAGGAATACACATTCCTGGTGGTTTCTTTATAAAATTATTCATTGTTCATTTTAACTCATTCACTGCTTTTAGGGCGTGGAAGAATGAGTGGCACAGCATCCAGACACTGGCTTCTGGAGGTGATACAGACAGTTGTACCCATCTGGAATACTCTGATTCTGTATTTGCACAAATTTCTGAACGAGCCATTAGAACCTTTATTGGTGTTATTTACCATAATCCATGAGTAATGTCTTTGTCATTTTGGAATGTCTGTGAGTGGAGAAAGCCAGAAAGATAGAACAGGGAGAGAAGGACTGTGGTGTGAAATCAAGGAAGAGGCTACAGCTATATCCTGCTTTGCAATCTGGGCAAGACCAGGAGAAAAACAAATGGCAGTCTGAATTTACAGAGTTAAGATAAGCAAGACAGTAGAGAATGTGATGGAGAATCAAGTGTAATATATGCTACTTCTTGCACTAAAGGGCCAAAGTTGTCACTGGGTGAAGAATTATGAGATGCCAATAGAACCTTGGCACTTCTGGCAGTATCCTGAATTTGTTCTCAGTGGTGGACTCTTGTGTCCATATTTTGTGATCTGATTATATATGTTATTATCAGTCTAACTATGTATGAAGTCCTAAGATGTTTATGCTGAGAATGCAGATTAATTCTTAACATGGACTTAGGGTGAAATTCACATCATTAGTTTTCTTCTCCTTTTCTCTTGATTATAATAAGCATTCTTGAAAAAAGAAGTATTGAATGGGTGAGTTGACCAGAACAACTTGAGTTGCAATTCTATTTGGTTTTGTCAACCTATAAATCACTCGTATATCAGTGTTAGGTGGTAGAAATAGCTGCAGAGCCTTTGTTGATGCAGACTGAGACTGAGAACAGTTGAACTGAAGGGTTAACTGGCTGGTTAAGTTGGTAAGGTTCCTAAAGTATCAGGTTGCTGTTGGATTGGACAGCTTCTATGTTCTTGCAACTAATTACCAACAAAAGTCATGCTATTTTGTTATTCCTGCAGCACTCAGTGGATTTTTACAGTTCTTATGAAGAGATGAGTTCTCTGAAGAGATTACAGCATGGTTTTAGGAAGGCTACATTAAGTAACGATAACAGGAATAGGGTTATAAAAGGTGCAAATTATAGCAATAAGGTTATGCAATAATTAGTTCAGGCATGGGCAATTTGTGATGGTTTGACAGATTAAGTAGTGCACATAAACTGGAATTATACTCATCTAACATCTGGTTGGTTATGTGCTTACAGAAATCTAGGTCAAGATTTTCAGAAATTAGAGAGTAAATAGATACCTCTGTCCTTAATGACTATTACTGTCTCGAAATTGCTGGCCTTTCTCTACATCCCTTTTAGAACCAATGGATTCTTCTTTTAAGATCAATACCTTCTAAAAATCATTACTTTTTTTCTTGGGAACAAAGACATAAATGCAGAGAGTTATCTGCAGAATTATTTTATTTAAGCTTTTCACCCTTATTTCAGGTGCTAAGTAACATTTTTCAAAAGTGAGTCAGTACTCAAGAGAATTCATATGCCATTGGCTGTGTACAGATGATTTCATATCCTACTGCATGGCAGACTGAAGGCTAACATTATCTTTTAGTACTTCCAGAAGAGAAGAAATAAACAAGTTTTTCTTTAGTTCTTTCCTTCAAGCAACATTAAAGCACTTTACAAATATTAAATTGAAATAGATGAAAAGTATCAGACTGTGTTAATGATTGTTAAAGCACTACTGTGATATAATTATATGGAAGATTATCTGATAAGACTAGAACGTTAGGTAGTCATGTAATTATCTAATCACTGCACTGCATTGCTTATCTTCTCTAATGAGTTTTTTAGTAGATGAAAGCTTTATCAAAATCTCTGTGGGAAATTTGATGTAGTTTGTCACACAAGTAAGTAGATTTCAGGGCATACTGCCAGGCTAGACAGTAACTTCAGTTACTGTTAACTCGTCTTGTCCCAGTGACCATGAACAATGTCCAACTTTCTAAAATGGTTAGACCCTATCTAATTCTTAAAAGCAAAGTTATCCTTCCAAGAGTACTTTCAATGGTGTAGTCCTCTTGCTTCATTCTTACCCTAAAATGCCCAGATTGGTTTACTATTCGTTTCCAAGAATTGTTTGGACTAGCGCATGCTTTTAGCACATCCAAAATCCATATCATGTACTCACATTATTTTATGTAGGTCTATTATTTTTGTGCAGAAAGGAACTGTTAGTAAGGGAATCAGCTTTGTGAAAGTACTTTAAACTTGGGAAGAGTGTTTTACCATGCTTTTGGGAATTGTACATGCTCAGCTAAGAAATACTATATGGTAGTTCAGAGAGCAAGATGACCGTCTGGCATAATTCAACTAACCTTTTTGTTGTGGCTCCACAAAGAGCTCTGTGCAGAATCTCCTGAAATACACTACATTCATATGGGAACTCTGAACTCTTCCATGAAGGGTTGGAGTGCCCTGACACTTTCTTATCATTTAGCAGACTTGGCAATGATCCTACGAAAGGATTCCCCCAGGCAGCCTTTGCAGCTGTCTTATGGCATTAGTGTTACTACATAGAATATTGGTATTGCCATCAGTATCCCCGTAGCATGTTACGATTATGAGACAGATTACAGCTTGCCAGTGGGGACAGAACTATAACCATAATTGTTATATTTCTGTATTTCAAGTATATTTGTTCTTCAGTCAGAGTCTTCTATTAAATTAAATTTGGTTAGACACACAAACTATATGGTAAAGAATAATCATTAACAGAGGTAGTTAAAACAGCAACTGTATAAATGAGAGATACTTCACTCTAGATCTTTTAAAAGTAGATATGTCCAAATTCCGACATTAATTCCAATAAAAGAACCAAGTGATTAACTCCCAGTTTGAGTGTTGCTTACCTGAAATAAATGTGGCTGAATGTGTTGGCTGTGGATGCAGAAAGAATGAATGTGAATTGATGGAGAGTTCAATTGTGAATAAATCATGATTTACGTAGCATTGCATCAACAGCTCAGGTAGGTGACTACTTCCTGTTTGGTGGTTGTATCAAAGGAGGGGGGTCTCTATCCAGTTAAATGGCATGTTGATGGCGGAAGATGAGCTATCGAGATCAAACTTTCAATACTTTTGTCAAACACAAACCAGATAGAAATTGAGAAATCTCCTAACATAAGTAGGATAATATAGCAATAGAACCCTAGTGAGGTACTCTTCCAACTTTCATCTATACATTAGAACCACCATAACTTTAAAAAGGAGAAAGACATTCCAAAGTTTATTTGTTAAATTAGTTAGTAGAAAAATATACTGACCAGCTCATAGGTAAATTTCTGTCAATCTGTACCATCCTCATAGAAATGTATTGTTCTTTTTATTTGACTGCAGGACCAAAGACATGAATGATTTCTCCACTTGACCAGCAGTATGCTTTATTAACCTGTGGTTTCAGGAAACATTCTGTCTTCTGTCGTGCTTCCCATCAGTGTGAGATCTATCCATAGTCTTTCCAGCATATTTGACTTTTAGAGAACTAAATGTGATTAAATTAAATGAGTTGCAGTTTTTATAGAACATAGTCTATTCCACAGTAAAGATTCACAAACCTAGAGGGAAGGATAAGGGGAGAAAACATTTTCAATTCAATTTATATTCTTCACGTCTTGAAGAATGTCCGAATTCCACTTTCAAATCTGTATCCATACACTAGGGTCACTTAAGTGATCTGCTACAAACTGCTGTGTGGCATTCCAGTGTAGGATAATCAGGATACATTTTTAAAGCGTGGATCTTGCATTGTAGATAAGCATACAGCAAGTCTGAGTGTGAGTATGGAAGCAATACCTGCCAACCTCAACCAATGTTTTCACCTGTATGACAGAGTCCATTCTTTACCAAATAACATGATAGAGACAGAATTGAAAAAACTGGAAAGATTTGATACTGAACACACTATAGCTATAACTGATGGCATTTTGAATCTGTCTCACTTATTTAGTATTGTGTCCACGAGTGAAAAGGGAATGCAGTCCAATACTGCTATCATTAGAGCAATCCATCCAGCTTACAATTGTTTGTGTTGCACGTGTTCTATATTTACTGACTTCCCATGTCTGAGTGTCAGCTTTGGGGCTTCCATTGGGATACATTAGCTGATTTTCATGCTAACCATATCAAAATAGGAAAAAATGCTTATTATCTTGGCAGTGTTTACTTAGGCTGTCTGTTTTTCAGAAGGAATATGATATAACAAGCTAGATTGAATGTTTAAAGGTTGGAAACTTGCTGGCTGGGGTGCTTTTATGCTGAAAATATTGGGGAGTCTCGATACACAGCAAACTGAATGTGAGATAGCACTGAGCCCTGACAGCAAAGAAGGCCAACACTACCTTGAGCTAGAGG